GGGGGATCGAACCCGGACCTTCGGTGTGTGAAGCGGACGTCTTTCCCACTGAGCTACTGGGGCATCTCGTTTCTGGTGGATCTCTTTCCTTAGTAATAATTCAGCCGGTAAACTGTAAGTTGGAAAGTTTGCTGTCGATTTTTCTTTAGCAAAAGCACTCCCGGGTCGAAGTCGGGAAGCACCACGCTTTGGGGACATTCGCACCCAGTAAAGAAATCGTACGCGTGCATATTCAACTCGAAGTAGACACGTCGTGCTTGACGTTTGCGCGAGCGTTGTCTTCAGCCACGAGAAGGGAGCGACGGCTCGGCGACGTCTTCGTGCAAATCGGCTTGGTGGCCGGGCGTGTCGTACGGGATGAATACCAATTCTTTTGATCAGTCCCAAATTTCTCTTTTAACGGTAGACAGAATTCGCCGGTACCGCGAACGACAGTTCTGAAATACAGGTCCCACGCCCGTCGTCCGCTGCCATCGCCGTCCCCGCGAGTCCCACGATACGCGAAACGACGAACGCACAGAATGCTTCCGGTTGTCTGTGGAACTTTTTTTTTCAATCAACGTATTTGCAGCTTTTTAGAAGCCACAAAAAATGGGTTTCATATTTTTTTCTATTTTTAATATTGAGTGTGTGCCTTCAGTGACCCACGACTTTGATTAAATTTGGTGGTCGCATCGATACCTTAGAAAATGGCCCGTGACCGCGGAAAAGAGAGTGAGCGAGACTCGAACCGGCCAGTTCTTGATCGGCGGTTTTCGGGCGGAAAGAAACCGAATTTCGAGCCGCAAATTCTGTTCTGGGTAGTTGAGCCCTCATATGTCACGTACAACTAACAACCTCGGATAGCATAAATACCCTGTCAGTGTCCCTTTAATAACAAAACAACACGGCGGCATGAATGGCGATAATGGAGCCTAAAAAGACAGGTTGGTGCAACACATATTAGTTTGGCATCGGGAATCGCGGACGAGTGTCGTGCCATGACGCTCATCCGCGATTATCGAGCGTGTATCACGGTATTGCAACAAGCGTGAAAACTTTAACGAATGCTTTTTTCTCCATCCTTTAGAAGTTTGCGTGCAACCTGCCTCAAATCATACCGAAAGAACTCTTTAAAACGCCTTTAACGGTTAAGCACTTCTCGATTAGACGTGTTGAAGCCCGAATGATTGAAGGCTAAACGTTGGTTCGGACATCTGCGTTTAGAGTATAGAGCCCTCTGCGTGACGAGTTTGTTGTTATGGCAACCGAGGCCCTCGTAACGCGTCGTATAGTGGAACGCAACAAGTAGCAACGCAATTCATCGCGCCCTGTATATATTAACAAGTTGTAGAAAAGCGTACGCAAAAATAAAAGAAGAAAATGGTGCCATCGTCATGCGCGAATTTAAAACGCGGTTTGGGCTCGCCGCAAGCGCAGGGGCAACGGCGCCATTTCTTAGCGTACGTCTTGGAGAAGCAGGGATCCAAGATATAAGTTGTCAACTGTCTTGGAATACCTCCAACTGCATTAACCTGTAAAAAAAAAATGCTGATTTTTGCGAATACGTAATTGTGTCGCATGCAAACACGAGTTTACCGTCCGTGTCTCGTGGAATTCCAAGATATAGTTGAACAGAGTACCCACACTTTTGGGGCACCTAAAAGGCACTTTTTTTTTTCTTTTATTATATTCAGATGCACTGTAAAAACGAAAACTGGCTGTTTCCTTTTGAAAACAATATTTCAAAATACTGACACAGTAGAGCACTGCTAGATGCTATTTGATGTTTGCAGTACACCAATATCCATCGGCTGTAGATGTATCCGCGGTTGTCCACCTTAATTTGCTAATCAGTAAAAGCCCGCTCGCAAAACTGCAGTACATAAACGAGCCAACGATTCAACGCGCTGCATTCCTTAGTTTCTTCATTTGGCGGTTTTACTTCCCTTTTGTGCACGATGACCCCCAAAGAAAAGGGAAGACAAGCGAGAAAGAGGGGCGGGATCCGACTGCATAAGTATACACAAAAGTGCCGTGGCGGCAAAAGAGTGCGCCCCCTCCTCCCAGCGCGGAATCGATTTTCTTTTCCCTTTTACGCCGCTATTCTCCGGGGCGTTCCAGCCGGCGGCTCTGCCGTTGGCAACGGTCATCAGCCCAGTCTGACCCTTCGGAGCTCTAAGGACAGCACAGTGCTGACCGACGTCAGCCATGCGCGTCAACGCGATCCCCGAACCGCGATTCCTCTTTTGGACAGGTACGCATTCTCAAATCATACGTACAGCAACGCGCGCTTGTCCAACATATACACTTCAAAACCGGGTCTGCTAAAACCCATATGGGCGTCTTGCTTAATATGGGTTCTCAAACCGGGTTCGCAGGAGCCTAGGGGTGAGTCTACCCATCATGGATTTCCCCGAACTCCCAAATTTCCTCCACCGTCCCCGTCCCTGTGTGTGCGTGTGTATGTGTGTGCGCGTGTGTGTGCGTGTGCTTTTGTTCTTCCAGATTAGGCTCGATTTTAGCAGATCAGAGTAGTCCACTGACGCAAAACTATGAGCCAAACGCTCCCAAGCATGCGCATTATTGCTTGCACTGCTTTTTACTCCACCAATGCCATCGTCAGGAAGGGTTTCTCGGCTTTCAGTCAAGCCTGATATGGGTTCCTCGAGATTAAGAAGTTGGAGAAGCACGGATCTAGATCATGGGTTCGCAAACTTTGTTCCTAAAAACCAAGGGTCCCTTCAGACTACCCTCATGTGTTCCCCGAGTTCCCAAATTGTGTCAACCATGCCTGCCCCGAAGCATTTGTTGTCCCTAGTTTTAAGCCCTACTTCAGCTGATCCGAGTCTCTGCTTGAGTTAAACATTGAATATTATTGCCTACGAGGTCTGTATGCGGAGCGCAAGTCGGTCTGCTTCCACGCGAACTGAACAAAAAAAAAAAACAGTGGGCAGATTTCAAGGCATTTGGCGTTTAGGACTACGGACTATTCTTTCGACCGAAGTCAATCAAAGCACGGCGTCCTTCACACGTCACCGCAACTCCTGCGAAAAAAGCGGACGACTTGCTCTCCGCATAGGCATCATAACTGCGCTTGATTGCACTAATCTCGAGACCGAGGGGAACGTTCCTCGACTTCAAGGCAGTCGTCACTGAAAGGATGAAAACGGCAGGGTGTTCTTATTATTGGCCTTCAGCACCCGCCCGTTGCCTTCGGTCGGGCTTTGGCTAGGCGTGCACGCCCGGAGCTCGCGAGACACCCAAGTGTTATCCAAGGTTGCAAGCCCGCGCTGGAGGCGGGAAAACCAAGAACTCCTCCCTGCCGTTTTCAACCTGTCAGTGTTTATAGGAGTTCCTGGAGTCTGAAAGCCCTTGTTCTGGAAAACGCTCAATATACTATGCCATCCTCGACAGAGGGGACTCGTTCCCCAAAACAATCCCTTTTCCCCAACCCAACTTGGGAGTGAAAGTTTTGTTGCTGAAACTTGCGCATGTAAAAGCGCAAGTAGTGCGCCGCGCCACTTGGACGACGTTCCTCAAACGCAGGAGTCTCGTTCCAACCTTCGAAGGAAGCAGTCGACTCTCCGCGCTGCTGCGAACCTCCAAAGAGAGCGGACGTGCTCCGGGCCCCGGAAACGCCGGAGAACGGAACGTGATTCTGCATGAACACCGACCGCCCCGCTCCGTCGGCCCGCCGCTGCACGTCCGCGGAAAAGTGCCTTTTCAAGCCTTAGTGCGAAAAAAATACCTGTACCGTGAGAGAGAGAGAGAGAAAAAAACTTTTTATTGTCGTGATTCATTGGACGTTTTAAACTGCAAGGAATTGCTGGATGCAATTTTCATCTCGATGAGTGCGAGACTTTTTGTGCTACGGGACTTCTAACCCGCCACAAACCTTCGGATCGACATGGAAGGGATGGAACCTTCTAGAATGGCTTCAGCATGGGGATACGACCCGGCGTCGATGGAATACAGCTACGTGGACCTCACGCAGCACCGCCCACCGACAGAAAGCCATGGCGGCGCCGAGGAAGACCCGGGATGGAGCACGCAGCTCCGTAAAAGACAAGCAGCACTCAAGAATCCCCAACTGGAGAGACAAGCGGAACCCCTGAAACCGCAGGTAGGAGCAAGGCCTAAGCCTCAAAAAAAAAGGCCGACGTCGTCATTAAGCTCAAGACAGCGCTCAGCCTAAAAGACTTAGAAAGAGAAATCACAAGAAGCATTAAGGGGCCCTAGAGGTCCCGCTACCGCGCTACGTGAGGGGCCCCTTATAAGAGTACATGAACAGAATATCATCGTCGCATGCACATGCGACGAAGAGGGTGCAGCCGCGATCGCGGGGATACGTCTCATTCGGCTGGCTGGAAAGAAGATTGAAGTCCGACGCATACCCCACACTTCGGCCGGAAGTATGCAGAGGGATTATCCACGGGATTCAACCCGAAATCAACAATGACAAGATCGAGAATAAATCCAAGCACCCGGATTCAACATCCTAGGAGCCAGAAGACTCGGCAAAACAAATTCTGCCATAATTGTCTTCGCCGGGAACAGAGTGGCCAACACAGTGAGGTAAGAGTGGCTAGAAAAGCGATGCTTTATCTACAGAAATACTAGAGTGGCGTGTCTCAATTGTGGAGATTCAGAGCACAGGGCGCATGTGTGCAACAAACCAAAAGGTTATGTCTGTGAAATATGTGGACTGGCCAATCCCATGGATAAACACGTATGTGTTCCCGTATAGCGCGGTGTGCAAAGGACCACACAAGACCTACGCGAAGGAATGCAAGCAGAAATTCTTTCGCCCAGACCAGACTTTCAAGATGACGGAGGGCGACACAAGACCGAGCAAAAAGGCGGGGGACGAAGCCGACGGAGGAGGCGGCAACAGGTGGGGTGGAATACGTCAGCATCTATAGGTCAGTGACACATGGACGTTCGTCATCACGTCACCGCGCCGAGTCACGTGGCCGCTCCACGTCACGCGGCCGCCCATCCTCCCGGCCCGCGAGGAATGTGAGCGTCGGCCGAAAACGTGGCGCCCGAAGTGATACTCCAGGAAGCCAACCTCAAGCCAAGCCAACCGGCGCGGGGAAGCAGACGTCCTCAGGCCGCCTCCCGCCAGGAATGGACAAGACATCGAGTAAGGTGAGCTGCGCAGAACGGCCTCCCCTCCCCCCCCCCCCCCACACACACGCACAACACACTCTGCAAAACGACGAAGTACAGGCACTCAAAAAGGAAAATCATAGTCTTAAAGCGCGTTTGGTAGCTATGGAAGCACGCTTAGAGGAACTTGCAAGGAAAAACACCCAGCATCAGGACGCGAGTGAGCCTAACACAAACTCACACACTCTACAAATACAGCAGAGCAACACAGCCAAGTGCAACCATACTCGCAACCCACTCTGGGGGACACATACCAGGAAATCATCCAGGAGTTCAGAGCCCTTAAAGACGAAACACGAGCCCAGTTCCGGCAAATACAAGCCCAGTTCCAGCAGATCCAACAAACAGAAACCCAGTTCCAACAAACCCTCACACGAATGGGAGAGCAAATTGTAGAAAACAGTATGACAATCGCCACCATAAACGGAGAAACGCAGGAAAGGAAAAGCTAGACGCAAGGACGCCAGATCCACAGCAGACGACCTGGGCTCTGACGACTCAGTATGCCAAACGTCCCTAAACTATACGTATGGCAATGGAACTGCCGGGGCTACAGGCGCAAACAATCTACCTTAAGCCTCTACATCTCTCAGCAAACCAACGCCGCGGCAGCTATTGTGCTACAAGAACTCAATATGACGCCTATCAAGCTAAGGGACTACAAAACATACCAAAAATATCAATACACGGTCATACTTGTGCACCAACAATACACGGCCATCCTACAAGAACCACTGGACACGGACACCTCTCACTGCCATGTTACCATCCTTCCCATCAAGAGAGGGGCGGCCGGAATACACATTCTCAACGTGTACTGGGACCTGGGGGTCACACCACAAATCTGGAAAAAAGCCGAAGTCAGATTTATCCCGAAGCCTAACAAGAAACTCAAGTTAGAAAATCTCAGGCCAATCTCGCCTACCTCGTGTCTAGGAAAACTCTTTAAAAGGGTAATTAACCCGAGGCTCACCAAATTAATTGAAAGGAACTCGCTACTGTCAAACACACAATTTGGATTTTGGCCACACATGTCAACCCAAGACATATTGCTATGGATATATAACGATCTCCTGGAGGAGCCAACCATGGCCCAAACTAGGTACATTCTCGCTCTCGACCTAAAAGGAGCGTTTGACAATGTTCTACATAGGAGTATACTCAAGGGTAACCCCTTGAGTATATTGCTATGTAGAGCATTGTCAAATGCTCCTTTATTGTACGGTCAGACAAGCTACTTTATCCCTGGGGAACATCCAATCGAAGTCAATAACTCTAGGTTCCTGAGGTACACCTCAGGGAGCGGTACTCTTGCACCTCCTTTTCAACCTGGCAAAGAGAGACCTCCCCGCCGCATTGGACAGCATTCCCGGAATCAGTCACGCCATCTATGCAGATGATATCACGGTATGGTGCAGGACAGGGAATGATGCGGAAGTGGAAGAGAGCTTGCAGAGGGCCGCAGACACAATTGACGCTTATGCCAAAAGCAGGGGTCTGCAATGCGCCCCGGAAAAGTCCGAACTTCTAATCTTTAAAAACCCCAGACAGAAAACAAGCGAGCGCATTGAAATCGACATCAATGGCGAGTCGGTCCCACGACCCGACTGTATTAAAATACTGGGACAATACATTCCGTAGGGCAGGGGAAATCGGGGTACACTCAAGAAGCTCGGAGGAACAACTGAGCAAGTGCTCCAGAAGATCAGAATAAGAAACAAACGCCACGGACTTGGTGAAAGGGAAGTTTCACGGCTAATGCGGGCTTTCGTCGTCTCTCGCATTATTTACGGGACGGCGTACCTCCGCCTTACAAAGGGCGAGGTGGAGAAACTGAATGTTCTAATTAGAAAGACATATAAGACGGCCTTGGGTGTCCCAAGCTGTACATTCTCCTGCAGACTTTTGGAGCTCGGGGTCCACAACACGGTAGAAGAGCTTTGGAAAGCTCAGATGCTCGCCCAAATGAGGCGATTAAACAAAACAGCAAATGGCAAGTGGCTCTTGGCGCAGTTAGGCCTCACCATCCCTGGCGGGAAACCAGAGCCCCTAGAAGATCTCACCCCGGAAATGAGGGAGAAAATTAGCGTTAGTCCAATACCTAGACACATGCACCCCGTACATAATGCCGAGAGGAGGAGAGCTAGGGCTGAATCCCTCGGTAGATTGTGGAACAACGACCAGAACACGCTACGTAGACGCTGCCGGACCTCAAGAAGGACATATGGTAGCTGTCGTCACGACACCGGACGTAAGAGTACTAAACTCAGCCTCAATGAGAACCAAAGTCGTCACACACGGGGAACAGGCAGCCATCGCCTTAGCCATTGCCTACAACCCCCGCGCAATAATTCTCACAGACTCGCAAGAGGCCTGTAGACACTTCGTTCAGGGCTCAGTCAGCATACTTCCCCATGAAATACTTCGTAGACACCCACCGGAGAAGGTGTTTCTCATCTGGACGCCAAAACACACGGGGCAAAAGGGGAACGAGGCCGCCAACGCCACAGCCCGAGGTCTTCTCATCCGGGCCCCCTCACGCCAACCCCCGTCTTTGGACATGGCGACCGTAACGTTCGCCGAATATTTAACTATATCGAGACTTAACAGAAGAGCATTCCCTCCTCCGGACAAAAGCCTAACTAAAGAAAATGAATACATTCTTAGGAGACTACAGACAGACACACTGCCCACGTTGGCTAAACTACCACTCCTGGTACCCTCACTATATTCCCCTTTCTGCCCGCATCGCCGGGAGAAGGCGGACGCATACCACATATAGTATGGGCATGCCAACACACACCAACTATAGACTCGATCTCACACACGTCAAGGGAGCAGTGGGAGGTCATCCTGCGCAGCGATGGCCCTGCCTGCCAGCATTGGCTGGTAGAGAGGGCCACTGCGGCGTTGGAGGCCATGGAATTCTGGAATTACGATAAACACCTTCTTTCCTCCCCAATTCCTTTTTTTCTTTTTTTTTTTTTTTCTTTTTTCGGAAATAAAGATGTTTTCAATCAATCAAAAACCCAGACGCACCGGTGCGAGCGCAACGCTTCAGAGGATCGGGCACGCACCCAGAAAGCTCCCCGGGCACCCTCGTTAACTTGCTCATTAAAAAGAGAAGCTAATGGAAGACACCCATTTGGTTTTCCTAATATTCTTCTTTTTTTTTTCTTTTTTTTACAAAGACGAGTTTTAATTTTGAGAACCCTACACAAGAAAACACAAAAGCGAACAATTACAAAAGATAGCATCGCCCGTGTTCCTTCCCCACACACAGTCCTTCTATTACGCCTGTTCTTTGGTCCCAAACACAAGCATAATTTAACATCAGACCCCCAGTCGGTGGTCGTGCTCTTCATCTCAAAAATACTTTTTTTTTTTCGCCGCAGGACGGACGGAAGCAGCCAGCGGAAGACACGAGCCCTCCGGGAGAAAACCTGAAAATGCGTCAGGCGAACGAAACGCGCAAAAAATGCCCCGCGCGGTTCAACAAGCTACAAAAAAAGCTAACAATGTCGAGAGAAAAAAAAAAAGAAGAAAGAAGGAAAAAAAGATTTCCATTTCTTGTTCTCAGACTGACTCCTCTCGGGCATTCTTCTTTCCGCAGTCGCTGTTTATCTCGGCAAGTCACGGATCCCTTGGAAACGGGACCGCGCGCGCGTCGTCCTCCTGTAGCGAAAGGACTCCGGCACGTCCATCCATGCAGGAAAACGAAGAAATATGAGTAGCGCACTTTTTCCTGCTCTCTCGTCCTTTGTCGCCTTGCAACTGCGCGTCCCCCAAGATCCGTTCGGAATATAGGACTGCATCCCCCCGAGTCGGGCGTAGCGAGCGAATCGAAGAGCGCTCGCGTCCCGAAACGATCATACGCGAGAGAAAAAAAAAAACAAAAAAAAAAAACCATTCCAGTTTAGACGCACGAAAAAAGAAAAAAAAAAAGAACAGCTCTCGTAGACAAAAAGAAAAAAAAAATCGAGCTGGATGTATAGGTCCATTTGAGCGAATGCAATACACCGTCGCGTCCAGCCGCTATTGATTGCTTCGAGCGCCAGTTTTCTAACGGTATAGCTTTATTCTATGGGAACATCCCACGGAGGTTGCTTGCTGGCGTTGTTCGAAATGTGCACAGGGGCGTCGGCAATCGAGCGAAAGCTGATGGTTTGACGTCGTAGCTCCTGCCATGAGAAGCGAAGTGTCACTCGACGTCATATGGTGGCACGTGACGTCACAATTTCCCCGCTAAATTTAGCGGGGAACTATGTCCGCTAAATTCCACTATAAATTGCTGCTCCTAGAAAAACTTAAGTGCTATCGCACTGTGATTGCGTTTGACACAAGTCTAAAGCCGGGGTCACACTGCTAATACGTCGTACAAAAGAAAGCCTTCAAAGAGATTCGAAGGCGAGCCACCGCGAGATCCGTGCTTCGAATGCCGCATGGCAATGAGTTCAAGGTGGAAAAACCCGCACGCGGTATCCGGAACCACGGATATTGCGGTGAGTCGTGTTCGCACACCGTCTTTTAAAGGGTGTATGGGCAGTGTAACCCCGGCTTAGGTAGGGCAATCTTGTTTTCTCTGTTTTATTATAGCGAGTTCGTTTCACACGTACTTGCAGTGCGCGAGTTCTTTCCCAGAATGCATCGCACTCGCGCCGCACGGAGAACCGCGCCCGAGCCAAGTTGCCGAATGCACCGACGCAGCATGATGCTGTCAGTGCACTCTAAATCTGATTACGTATAACATGCGGCACAAAAGTTCATATTTTACGTTTACGCATGATTTATGCGCAAACATAGTTAATTCAGCCGGGGACACACTGCTTATACGTCTCATAAGAGAAAGTCTGCAAACAGATTCAAACGCACGAGCCCCACGAGATCCGTGCTTCGAACGCCCCATGGCAACGAGTTCAAGGAGAAATTTGGCACGCGGCATTCAAACCACGGGTATGGCGGTGGCTGATATCTGCACACTGTCTCTTGTATGATGTGCAAGCAGCGTGACTCAGGCTTTACGGGCGTCTTACTTATTCCAAGAATAAGAAAGAGGCTCATTTTGTGCCGCTTGATATCGTGCGCAACGTATTTAATGTGCAACACGGTTCATGGGTAATATGAATCAGACTTGTACCGTACGCATTACAAGTAATCAAATTACTTGTAATCAGGGATGGGCAAAATACATGCAAATATGTATCGAAATACAAATAGAAAATACTTCGTCAAAAATGTATTTAATTACAAATCTAATTACATTTCCAAAAAATAAGTATTTAAGTACAAGATACAAATACAACCAAATGTATTTGGTCTCCTCCAAATACTTTTCCAAATATATTCCTCAAAATTTGCGTCAGCGACTTCAAGGCACCTGCAACGGGTTTCCGGGCATCTCATTTTGATTTTGCATCGCACACTCGGGCGTTAGTGTGCGAGGCTCTAGTAACGTAATTAAGTATAATCAAAAAAAAAAAATGTAATCAGCTTGGACGTAATAGGTGAAAAAAGTACAGAGCTCCAAGCAGCTTTTTTTTGTCGATTGCATTTTGGTACAGACTAACGAAGAACCGAGACGACCAAGACGCGCAGCACTAGCTAGAGAAATTTTTATTGTTGCAACTCGCACCAGTTACGAAAATCTGGACGACCCGTACATTTAGAATGTTCCAGGCAAAAATATGGATGGAAATCAGGCTGCAAAGCATCACAAGTTGTCACAGGCCTGTCTGCCTGTGAACGTCGATTTCGTCACTATTCTTGCCCTGGACAAGCACCGTAATCACAAAGTCACTAAACGCTTGTGCTTGATTGAGAGACACTGCATTCGGTACAGAACGTAGTTTTCTTCCTGTTCTGGACAGTGTCACAGTGCCAATAAATTTGAGGGATGTATTTTCGCCCACAAAATTGTATTTAATTACAATTGTATTTGAAATACCCACGTTTTAGTATTTAAATACACACGTCAAATACATTACCCAGTTTGTAATTAAATAGAAATGCAAAGTACACAAATTGTTTGAAATACGTATTTAAATTACTTGTATTTGAAATACTGCCCATCCCTGCTTGTAATCGATTACTTTTTGGAGTAATTTTGTAATCAGTTGATTACTTTTATTAAGCAGGAATCACGAGAGTAATCTGACTACTTCTTCAAGTAATGAAAATGACTTCTGACCGTTACTATTTCTCCACGGGACCGCATGCAGCGCACTGCTCGGCTCTGTGGCGGGCGCTTTGGCGGCGCACGTGCCCTCCGCTCGTCCAGAGAGGAGGGGAACAAGGTGCTACTTGAAGCAAGTCCTCCGCCTTACTCTGAACGAACGGTGAGCAAAGATGCGAGGCCAAGCACCCGCTAAAAAGCCTAGAAATAAGCTCCATGGGGATAGGCCTTGGTACGCTGCTGCCGCAACTCGGTTCCACAAGTTCCCGGACCAGCGCTTCATACTTTCCCCGCACAGCAATGCAGCAAAATACGTTGGTGGGAAATATAAGACTCTTGCATGGGCACTTGAAACCAGCCGTGTGCCTACGACTGAAAAAAAGTAACCAACTACAATTACAATTAATTAATTAAAAAATGTTTATTTTTTATTCGCATCGGAATTTTTCGTTGTTTGATTTGTTTCCCCGTGTTTGCCTAAATATATCCCGACTATCGTATCACCCAGATTCCTTATTTATTTTTTAAAATAATATCTATATATAAGTAGAATATTATCTGCAAATTATATGAGAATGATTAAATCATTTCATGAGATACAGGCCTCCAAATTTCGCCATTTGTCATTCGAGCAGGCATATTTGGCAATTTTTAGACAAATAAATAAAATTCAAGTACATTTCATTACTTTATATTACAAGCACGCTGTACACATAGTTTGCGTCTGAAAATTATTAGAATTCTCCTAATATTATCGTTTTAGTTGTTCACTCTCAAACGTGCCCCCTCCATCAGTGCGCGTTAATGCAACTGTCCACCTCTTCATGCCTTACGATTTTTCCTGTCCCCAAATATTTTTTTCTGGTCAAAACTAATTTTTAATTCGTTTATACCAGACACTAGACAATAGGATATAGAAACATCAGTTGATTTAAAAATGTCGACCAGCCACCGTTTGGTCGATCTTATCGGAAATCACCCAGAAGCTCTTTTGAATACTTGAGATTGAGAGTGATTCAAAAACGCCACAAACGACAATTCTCAAAACCTCGCCGTTCTTTCCAGCTTCTTTGAGATTTTCTTTTTCTCAGAAACTAAACATGTGAGGACATTAAAATAAAAAGGATTGTTTTTCTTGGAACGTGCACCACGAAATGTAAAAATTTGAAGCAAAAAAAAAAAAATATATATATGACCGCCCCTCGTTGCCTTTATCCAAATGAAACCGCCCATATGTACTCTTATTACAAAGTAGAAATGTTGTAATAAGCGTACAGACCTCAAACCAAAACTAGCGCCCTGCAGTTCCACATTACGAGCGGGAACGCTATAGTGCAGAGTTTATATTTGCGATGACTTCCAACAACTCAACTGTACTGGAGATATTTACAGACGGCGCAAGTTTCCGCAACCACCTAACTACAAACAAAAACAAACAAAAAAAAAGCAGTAAGAAGTAACGGAAGTTGAGCGATCTTTCAATTCTTAAAACCGTACTGGAGAAAACTGTTGACGCTGTTCGCGCAGAAGCTTGATCAGTTTTAAGCCCACATCACTGAGGATAGGGCTTAAAACTAGTCCGTTTGAATCGTCAGCAATTCGTTTCGAGACCCTTTCAATTTCAATCGTCGTAATACAGGATGGATCAGATGGTATCCCCGGTGAGAGCAGTGAAAGCGAAAGCTTTCTGATACAGAATACGACGGTGCAAGATAGCTAGTGTAGGTAAATGTTAAACATGGTGATTTTACCTAAGCCTCGGGTATCTAATCACCTACAGCTTTCTCGGCTGCTGAATGAACGCGTCACATGTCTCTGCTGGGCGAGCTTTGTCGACAAATGTTGTCCGACAATTTCAGCCGCGCACGGATGGCGAGAGAGATCTGGCGACCGCTGATGAGTTTGTGGAGCTTTCTTTATCCACCGATAGATTTCAGCGTCTGTGCGGCAGCAAAACGAAAAAAAAAACTACAAAAAAAAAACTTGCAAATCAATCACGGGCAGTCGATTGTTTCCTTCGTGAAACAGCAGACGCTCCCAATTCGAGCCCACGTTCGACTCCGTCGCCCGTAGCAGAAAGTTCACTTTTTTTTTTTTTTTTGGGGGGGGGGGGGGGGGGGGGGGTTCCGGTAGGTGCGATTGACACACCGTAGTAGACTATTCCCCGTCGCCTGCTCTCGCTCCTCGCATGAGCGATGCATGACCGGACTGCATTCTGGCGCCCGCTCCCATATCTCGGTGCACTCGGTGCAGCGAGTGCATGCACGCGTGGGGCGCCGAAACAAACTGGGAGAGTGCAGCCACTTGTGGAGTGCCGGCCGAAACGAACTCGTTACACGCTGCGAGTGGGCACGC